TGTGTGTGTGTATGTATGTGTGTGTGTGTGTGTGTGTGTGTGTGTGTGTGTGTGTGTGTGTGTGTGTGTGTGTGTGTGTGTGTATGTGTATGTGTATGTGTGTGTGTGTGTGTGTGTGTGTGTGTGTGTGTGTGTGTGTGTGTGTGTGTGTGTGTGTGTGTGTGTGTGTGTGTGTATGTGTGTATGTGTGTATGTGTGTGTATGTGTGTGTGTATGTGTGTGTGTGTGTGTGTGTGTATGTGTGTGTATATGTGTGTGTGTATGTGTGTGTGGGTGTGCGTGTGCGTGTGCGTGTGCGTGTGCGTGTGCGTGCGTGCGTGTGCGTGTGCGTGCGTGCGTGTGCGTGTGCGTGTGCGTGTGCGTGTGCGTGTGCGTGTGCCTGTGCGTGTGCGTGTGCGTGTGCGTGTGCGTGTGCGTGTGCGTGTGCGTGTGCGTGTGCGTGTGCGTGTGCGTGCGTGCGTGCGTGCGTGCGTGCGTGCGTGCGTGCGTGCGTGCGTGCGTGCGTGCGTGCGTGCGTGCGTGCGTGCGTGCGTGCGTGCGTGCGTGCGTGCGTGCGTGCGTGCGTGCGTGCGCGCGTGCGTGCGTGCGTGCGTGCGTGCGTGCGTGCGTACTTGCGTGCGTGCGTGCGTGCGTGCGTGCGTGCGTGCGTGCGTGCGTGCGTGCGTGCGTGCGTGCGTGCGTGCGTGCGTGCGTGCGTGCGTGCGTGCGTGCGTGCGTGCGTGCGTGCGTGCGTGCGTGCGTGCGTGCGTGCGTGCGTGCGTGCGTGCGTGCGTGCGTGCGTGCGTGCGTGCGTGCGTGCGTGCGTGCGTGCGTGCGTGCGTGCGTGCGTGCGTGCGTGCGTGCGTGCGTGCGTGCGTGGGTGCGTGTGCGCGTGTGCGCGTGTGCGCGCGTGTATGTGTGTGTGTGTGTGTGTGTGTGTGTGTGTGTGTGTGTGTGTGTGTGTGTGTGTGTGTGTGTGTGTGTGTGTGTGTGTTGTGTGTGTGTGTGTGTGTGTGTGTGTGTGTGTGTGGGTCGCATAACGCATGAATCGATACACAGAAAAACACCAAATTTTAAACTTAAGCTTTATTCCAGCGTATAATGAATTGATTAGATTTTGGGCAGAGTCGGAATATCTGGGGGGGTACTTTATGGGTGGTCATTTTTATATTTTATGGAATATATCTGTTATTTACGTTTGGAGAAGAAAATTCTTCAAATAAAAGTTACTTCTAATATAATTGTATATAATTTTTCTTGTATACAAATTTGCCTAAAATGGTCCGTATTCGAGAAATTTGACAAAATGTAAAAAAATATTTTTTTTAAAAAATTGTTCAAATAAAAGTTGTTTGTAATATAATTGTCTATAATTTTTATTCCATACATAATTTCTCTAAAATGGACCTTGAAATGAAATTTAAAACTCAGGTTTTATTTCGGCCTGACGTGAAATGATTAGATTTTGGACATAGTCGGAACATCTGGGGGGTACTTTATGGGAGGCCACTTTTATATTTTATGGAATATATCTGTTATTAATGTTTGGAGAAAAAAATTGTTCAAATAAAAGTTACTTCTAATATTATTATAATATTATCTATAATTTTTGTTTTATGTAAAAATTTCCTGAAATGGGCCGTATTTGAGGAATTTGACAAAATGTGCAAAATTCTGATTTTTATGAAAGTTTTTAAAATAAAAGTTGTTTGCGATATCGATCTCTATAATTTTTGTTTATACATGATTTTTCTAAACTGGACCGTAATGAAAAAATTTTAGGAAATTTAAATTTTTCAGTATTTTCGTTTTCCATGAATATCTATAGAAAAATGTTTCGAGGTAGATGTATGTGGACAATGTATATATTTAGTTTATCCTCTAAACATTTATAGAGATGCTGCAATAGGTTGTACAAAATAACCGGAGAAATCCTATAATAACTAGATAGGAAAGTCATGTGTTGGACACATCAGATTTTTTCATTTACTATTTAGTATTTAAAATGAACTCGAGTGATTCAGATTCCAATTTTCTGTTAGAAAATATCACTTCAAGTAGTGAATGTGAAAGTTTTAATGATAGTGATGACAGAGAAAATGTGTCAGACTATAGTAACGCGTCATCTATAGACAATAATCCGGCTGGATGGAATGTCATAGGTGATTCGATTAAAGATAGACTTCCTAATCAAGTTCCAGAAGTTCTTGGCATTCCTTGTCCAAACACAGAGGTTTTTCCACATGAAGACGTATCGTTAACAAGGTCTATAGATATGTTTTTATCTGAAGAAACATTTAATTTTATTGTGCGATGCACAAATTTAAGAGCCGAATTATATTTTAATATTAGGCCGCATATAAATTATAAAATTCACGGGCTACAATGGCATAATGTAACACTACAAGAGATGAAAAATGGTTTTGGTTATTTACTAAATATGGGACTTGATAAGAAGTCACAATGATCAATGTATTGGAGTACAGGTCCTAATATCAACATATTATCGTAATAAGTGAGTTAGCAGAAATCGATTTCTATCTATTTTAAAATTTTCTAGTTTCGCTAACCCAAATGCTTTAGTACCAAATGATAGATTATGTCTTGTCAAGTCATTCTTAAACAATTTGCAATAAACATTTCAAAATAATTATCAATCTAATAAAAAAGTCGTAGTAGACTATTCACTGATGTTGTTCAAAGGACGGTTACATTTCCAACAATACATCAAGTCAATGCGTACTAGATTTGTTATCAGAATTTTTGCTCTCTGTACTTCTGACGGGTATATGTACAGCTTTGAAATTTATATGGGACTAGCACAACAACAATGTGCCTTCCAGGATGCCAATGCTTCAGATCTGTCATTATCAGAAAGAACAGTAGTACATCTTGGTCGAAATTTACTGGACTTTATATACAGATTATTGGTATAATAGTATACGGCTCGACGAGTACTTGCTACACAGGGAAACCATTTTTACTGGCACGATTTGTCCAAATAGAGATTTATGACATTCCATTGAATAGGCATCAAACAGTATGTGTCACAAAAGAAAATATTTTGGTATTAAAATATTTTGACAAAAGGGACAATTTAATTTCAACAAAGTACACTGTTGAATTGACCGAGAGAGTCAGATTCGTTAAGTTCTTTTTTAAGAATTTTGACAGGTGAAAATACATTATTTGGTTAATGCTAATTTTGTTTTATATTTAAAAAAAAAATCTTACTTTTTTTACTTAAAATATTTGTTCAAAATAGATTTATAATAAAATGTATTGTTTAAATTTTCAACGTAAACCTTTCCAATATAATACTCTTGCTAGTTATCTCAGTGTATATTCATTCGACGTACGTCGTACGTTCAATGGTATACGGTATGCAGACGTACACCGTACGTTCGCTGGTAATGAGCGAATCCAACTTGCTGGGATTATTTACATGTTAAAACAGTGGCTGGTGCTGAAAGGGTTAAACCAAAAGATATAACCTTTTAAAGTTACCAATTGAAAATCAATTTTTACAATAAATCTGAAACTGTTGAAAAATTTGTTAGGAAATTAGACATGTGGGTTTATTAAAGTAAGAGCAACTTTGCATGAAAAAATTACGATCCTCGGATCTCCCAAATTGTGTATACTTCAGAAATAAGTTATTCTGGTGCCACGATTGGTTTACCACATTGATTTGAAAACTGTTTTGTCCGCCTATAGAAGTGTTTCAAAACAAAATATTTGTTTTCGTATTACGGCTACTTTATATGTAGTCAAAAACTAACACCCTACATAGGTTAAGATTATGATTTCTTAGGTACCAAAAATAATTGGTGGTTGGTATTTTAAAATATTAGATTGCTATATGTTACAATTAATGGATTATTTTTTTTTATTTCTGAAAATAACGTTTATCAATAATGAGGTGGTTACATTTCAAAAAAACGGGATTTGATATTTTGAAAATAGAAGTGTCAGTTTTGGTCTTTGAGAATTGTTAAAAGGTTTGAATAGCTGGTTAGTTTATCTACCTTTTTGTATGTGTTTGAGCTCAATTTATAGGGTTAGGTTTTTAAATAACTCTAATAACTTTGAAAAAGAAGTTGGAGTTTTATAAAATATATTTAATATATAAAAAAATTTTTTGTTAATGATAAAATCTGTGCCTTTATTTAGTTAAATATATTGCTTTTTACATTTTTTTCTGACTGATATACTCTTTATTAAAATGATTCCCAAACATTTAAAAACTCATGAGTTAAACTATGAAATTTTAATCAGAGTGGTAGTTCTGCCTTCCACTGAGAACAAAACAGAAAGGTTTTGAGTGGTTTGTTATCTCAAGAGTCACACAATAGGAATTTTTACTATTACTTTACTGATAATAAATCTGATCCATCTTTTAAATGAATTAGTTCTAGATTAGTTTATTTGTCCAATAGGATAGCTAATTTTAAAGTAGAATTTTATGAGAAAGCAACAGCTCAAAGCACAATAAAAATAAAAATAATTATGTTAGAAGCTGATTTGTCAGAAATAATTAATAACAATTCCTCTAGTTTTAACTCTAGTACTGTATCTACAGAACAAGTTAGTTGTCCTTCATATACAAGTGTAGATATTCATAAATAGGGTGTATACTATGATGGTAACAATTCGTTGTTTGTTTTTTTAGAACATGTTAAAATGTTAAGAATGTCTAGAGGTCTTTCGAAACAACACGTGTTTCAACGTAGCTGTAATCTTTTAAAAGGTGATATTCCATTTTGGTATATAAATAATTATTCTAAATTCATTGACTGGGGTCATCTTGTAGAACAATTAAAATTACATTTCTTACCTTGCGACTATCAATATAATTTAGAATTATAGATTTAAGGTAGTTCACTCGCGACAGTCGTACACAAAAATATCGCCCTATAGTGAATACCAACCGTTCGAGATTCTTAAATCTAAAGAAAGGTTATTTTTGTAACAGACTGTACACGCATCACATGTGATCCTATATACAAATATGTTGTTATATCGCGTAAAATCCATTCGGCAACGTCGCAAATATATTGTGAAACGTCAACTGTATTCCTAAAGTGAAATAAATGTAAATATCAAAATGTTTCACTGTCAGGATCAATTAATTGGGAGTTAAAGGAAAATTTTTTAAGCACAACGTTCGCAGCAAACGCAAAAATCAATTTTGGCTATGAATATTGCCAAAAAATTGAGAAAGGAAACCCCAAACGTGGAAAATAACCTGTGTAGTGGTCGACGCATCGCGGAATTACAGGAGTTGGGAAAACATTTAAAATGTTGCAGGTGTGAAAGAGTCCTTTCTCTTGAAAATATTACAAATAAAACTCGAAAGGGCCTTTATTCAATTTTAAATGTTTAATGAATATAATATGGAAACTATAGTACCTACGGACAAAGTTTATGCAACAAAAAGTGAAGTTAAGCGTTCAGATGTCAACACTAAAGCAGTTCTAGGTAAATTTAAAAAAAAAATACATAAGTATTTGTTATGTTTATAATTTTTTTATTATAATTAATATATTTTTATTTATTTAAAGGTGCTGTCCATTCACGGTTTGGTCAAACTGCTTCAAATAAATTTCTTGCTGTCATGAACGTTCCTACAATATCATCAATACTACAGAAAATCATTACTTTTATTTGTATTTTTTTATGATTTCCTCATACTAGTAAGTTAAAATTTTAAATTACTTATTTTTTTTGTGTAACTGTATTTTATTTTGAAGGCATGTTTAAATAAAATTATATTCAACTTTTGCATATTTATTTAATTTTGAAGACATGTTTAAATACAATTAAATTTAAATTGTTAAATCATATCAACCTAAAGTATAAACACCGTCCCTTCCCAGAAGGCCTCGATAAAGTGATAAACTTGACCTGTCCGCGGTAATAAAAAGGTTGGGAAGCACTGATCTAACAGACATTTGAATTAGCGGGCGTTGAGTGTATCGATTACAACGTTGCCAAGTTGTAATCACAATACGCCACTATGCGTTGACTGCTTTAAGAACATTTTTATTTTAAAAACCTATTATTTCTTTATCAAAACGGTAAAAAAATTCAGCGTTTTTTTAGAAAATTTTTCTTCTTTAACTTCTTGATTTACATTACATTAGTTTTTAAAAAATATGGTAAGAACCGGTTTAGAGATATCTTAAAATAAATGCAATGATTGTGTACATGACAGGGCTTCAAGAGTGTTAATTATGCACATTTTGATTGTTAATATCTCGTTTTACGGACGGTCAAAAATTTTTATTTTTTTTAGGTACATAAAAGACACTTTCATTAACCTCATATTTCAATTTTATTGAATTCTTAAAAAAAGCCGTTTTACGAGTGAACTACCTTAAAATAGGAAACAACTTTATTCTGAAAGTACAGCATTATACATTTCTTACATGGAAAAACTTTTTAAAAGATTAACTATCTTGATGAATGTAAAAGATTATAATTGGTAGCAATAATTTTTCAACTAATACTAACAAGTACCGTAGTAACAATATTCAATTTAATAAAAGTAGATTAGCTAATGTTTCTTGTTATAACTGTGGTAAAGTTGGACATACTTATTCAACATATTTTTTTAGGCGAAATATCTTTTGTTATCGCTGTGAGTACAAAAATAAAACAATAGTGAATTGTCTTAATTGTTCAAAAAACGGATTACAGGCTGTACCTTAAGCCGCAGTCTTACAAATGTTCAAAATTTGCCAATTTCACAAGGTACAGGAAACAAGAAACAAAATTAACTTCTATAGCGGAATGGAAACAATACCTATCTTTTGTAAAAAATTTCCTTAATAAAATATCTAACTCCAGTGCCATACTTAAAAAAATTTCTTATCACTTTAAAAATGATAGTGTTTTAGTTAATGGCAATACCTCACCATCTCTAATAGTAGAGAAGAAGTCTCTAAACAATAACTCAAGTTCATTATTTTTTAAGAAACTAAATGACAATAAGCAATATTTAAAGGTTACAATAAACAATATTGAAATATTAGTTTTAGTAGATAAAGGTTCTAATTCAACAATTTTAGGTCAACAAGCTCTTATTATTATCCATAAAATAAATACACCCATCTTATATGATGATGATATAAGTGTAACTACTGCTGATGGGGTTTCACAAAATGTATTAGGTTTTTTAAATATAGCAGTCAATGTTGATATTATTACAAAAACTTTAAGAATTTTACTTATACCTACAGTAAAACATAATTAAATTTTGGGCATAGACTTTTTAAATTTATTTAATATTGATATTAGATGTGGTGAATTTTCATATTGTTTATTATCATCTGTATGTGCTGTAAATTCTATACAAACAATATCAAATCTGTCTTTTGAACAAAAATCCAAACTTAATGGAGTGGCAGATCTTTTTTCTACTATAGCTCCAAAAGATTATCTAGGATGTACGCATTTAATTAAACATGATATTGATACTGGGGATACGAAACCAATTTTTTCTAGACAGTACCCACTTTTACCTGCCATGAGGTCTATGTAAAAAACAATTAATAATTTACTACAATTAGGTATCATAAAACCATCTGTTTCTCCTTGGTCCAGTCCACTTTGGATAGTTTATAAGAAAACTGATACCGAAAAAAGATTTTGTTTAGATAGTAGACGTTGAATCAGTACACTGTTTCTAATAGTTATCCTATGCATTTAGTGAAATTAATATTGAGTAAACTTAGGGATACAAAATTTCTTACCTCCATTGATCTTAGAAAGGCTTTTCTATAGATTCCCTTAACTCATACCTCCACACCTAAAACTGCTGCTTCAGTTTTTGGTGTTGGCTTAAAAAATGGTCCTCGTACAATGGCTCGTTTATTGCACTGTTATTTCCATTTCTCTAGGAGAAAACGAGGACTAGTGGGTTCATAATATTCGACAAATATTGTATTTTTAGGTAAATATAAAAGTAATATAATTTGTTTATATATTGCCAGGATCCGAAGACGATAAAGAGTAAATAATGAATACAACTATATTTTTGAAGCCCGATTAGTACTAATCGTTTACATAGGGCGAGTAAAATTTTATTTAAAACAATATAATATTTTAACGGTTTCTTTCATATATTTTCTATTTTCTGATTCTGTATGTTTCAAAATACGTACCCCCTTAGCGACAATAATTAAAAAAAAATGGAAAGTTCTTACTTCTATTAATATTGAGTCCAGTAGCGTCTCTGGAAGTAGTATTCTTTATCACCAATTTTTGTCTTTCTATTAAAGAGGTTCCAGGTATTTTCTTACAATCTCAAGCTTAGCAGGTATATTGGGAGGCAAGCTATTTGGCTATAAGGCTAATGAGATAGGTCAGAAGCCATTCAGGGAGCTAAGAAGCAAGAAATTTGGCTATAAGGCTAATGAGATAGGTCAGAAGCCATTCAGGGAGCTAAGAAGCAAGAAACTACTAAACAGTAAGGTACTCCAAATAAATTCACAGGTTACCATAAGAATAAGTACTACCTGTACAGAAAAGCCTAAAACAATAGATTATAATTATTTACTTACTTTATTAATGATCATGAATTTTAGTTGCAAAAACTTACCATACGTGGAGAGTGGCTTAGAAGTAGATTAGTTTTAGAAAAAGTATGTTTTATCGACTAAGTGTGTTAGCAACTCTATTTATTACTTTTATCAAAACTATTGAAGTAATCTTTCTTTTAGGGCTAATTTAATCCGAAAATTCTTCGAGAAATAGGAAAGCACATGTTCCAATTCAGTAGCAAAAAAAAAGAAAGAGGTAGTAAAAAGAGGCAGTTAATCTTACGACTAAATGGAGTAGTTCATGACCAATAGGAAAGTAGATATTGACCTTTACTTTAGGACGAGGCCTGAAGGAAAAAGAAGAAGCGAAAATGAAGAAGAATCTCGAAAGACTGCATTATTCTACAGAGACTTGGTTATGGTAATAATAACAAAAATTAAATAAATGTTTAAATTAATTTTAATTAGATTTATTTATTAAGTCAAGTACCAGAAGATTTTCTCTTTTAAAATTAAATTGAATAGTTAGTTAAAATTGCACAAAATCATAACAAAAATTACTTAAATGTACTTTGAAATTTAAATTACTTTCAACCCGTAACAGCTCATAGTAATAGCTCTATTCTTTCTTATTGTTTCTGTTATTTGGATGACATTAATGTAGCAACTCCTACTTTTGAACTTCATATTGACACTTTAAAAAAATTGTTTAATAGATTAAAAGATGCTAATCTTACAATTAATATGGAAAAAGTGAATTTTGTCGTGATTCTATTCATTTCCTTAGATTTTTCTTATATAAGGGTGGTTTAAGGACGGATTCCGAAAAAGTTTCTGCAATTTTGAATTACAAAATTCACTCAAATATTACGGCTTAATAGGTTGGTATAGGAGGTTCCTAAAAAAGTTCTCTACGGTTTTTTCACCTATTAATGACTTATCAAAAAATAAAAAGAAGGGACAGTCTATAGTATAGAAACCAGAAGCTGATGCTTCATTTGTGGAGATCAAAAAGATGCTTACCACTAGCCCAATACTTGCAAGTCCAGATTATTCAAAACAATTTATTATCCAAACGGATGCTGGTGAAACTGGAATTGGTGCTATCTTATATCAAGAATGTAATGGTCTTGAACACCCAATTGCTTATGCTAGTCGTAGCCTAACGACTTGTGAAAGAAAAGTATCCACTACTGAAAGAGAATTACTTGGATGTATTTTTGGTGTTATGTTAAGGGTACCCATTTCATTTTAGAAACGGATCATTCTTCCTCACAATATCTTTATAAATTGTCCAATCCTTCTGGTCGTTTAGGTCGGTTGGCTTTTCGTTTATCTCAATTTGATTTCACTATTAACCATAGGAAAGGTTGTCCTATGACAGAGAGTGATTTTCTAAGTCGTTCAGTTAATAAGATTTCTAACTTAGATGTTGCAGAATTTAAACCTGACAAATGGTATAAATCTATGTTACATAAAGTTGATTAATGTCTGTGAAAAATATCCCTCTATCAAAGTTGAAAGTAGAATCTTGTATAAACATATTTTTTCTCACAGTCCCTTGATATCCAATTCAACTAATTGGAAAATGGTTGTACCTAATAAGAATCGTTATGAAATTCTTAAAATTTATCATGATGATGTTACTGGAAATCATTTGGATATTTCCAAAACTATCTCTCGTATTTCAAAAATTTATTAATGGCCAAATTTAAGGAAAGATGTATATCGATATATTAAAAATTGTAATATCTGTTAGTTTTGTAAAAGCACGAATGTACCTAAAGCTGTTATTATGGGTAATTATAAAAATATTAATCATCCTATTCAATGATTATCAATGGACATTATTGGACTATATACCAGAACAAAATATATATTTATTAACATATTATTAACAAAATGTACCTTATAAAATCAGACGGTTATTAACAT